TTTCATTTCCCCAAATTCATCCCTTATGTTTGGATGGAGAGATAAGTCCATGAAAAGAAAATTAGAGGAGGAGATTGGAAGGAATTCCGAACACCCCCCCCCCCCAAGATTGTAAGAAAAGAAAAGAAAGAACACAAAGTGGAGAAAAAAATAAAAGCACATATATTTTCTCCGTAATATTTTTTGCCAAAAGTGGAGAGAATCTAAGGGGGACAACGCTTTTTTCAAAATAGCAGAAAAACTTGAGGCCCATGTTTTTTCCACACGGGTTTACTTTTGTTGGGGAGGAACTCTCATTTTCCTTTCCCTTCCTTTTTCCTCCTCCTCTTTTCATCAGGGATCAAATTTTAAAAATTTAAATTTATTTAAATATTTTTAATGTACAATTATAATAACAGTTTAATAAAATATTAAATCAGAGTCGTTGAAATTTTAATTCAACAGTGATATGAAGAGAAAAGGAGGGGAAATGAAGGAAAGAGAAAAGGGGAGGTTACTCTCCCTACTTTTATTTTTGAAGTAATTGCCTTTTTTACCTATATATTTTCTCCTATTTATTCAGTCATGAAGAGATAAAACAGTTTCTATACCTTTTCCCCTTTCTCCTATATTCTCTCTTGCTATTTTTTTTTTCCTTTTGTTTCCTCCCTTCATTCAAACAAGCATTAAAACTAAATCAAAATAACAAATCATGCTCAAGTTTTCCCAAAATCTTCTATAGCATTTATTTGTTGATTTTTTTTTTTTTGGTATGCATTTGTTGGACTTTTAAATCAAGAAAAATATCCAATAAGATCATAAACTGGTGGAATAATGATAATCTTCATTGTAAGTTCATTTTATCAAAAGAAGCATGCTTCCTGATCTCTAAAATAAGAGAAATCCATTTTGCACCGTTTGAACAAGCTAATAAAAATCCTCAAAGTTCATCCCACCAAAAACTGGTTTTCTTATGCTACAATGAACGAGAATGTGTAATAACAGAATCTTAAATCTCAATACGTTTAAGGTAGAGATTGTGTATAAATTAAAGTCAAACAACGAAGGTAGTAAACTGTAAGTACAAACATACAACACAAGAATCAAATTATCAATCTGTCTCAAGAGGCTATCAATCCATTTAAATTGTGAAAATTTGAAAGATCAAAGATGAATGTCAATAAATCCATGAGTGAACCCGAGTGAGGGAAACTAATATGCTCTGTTAGCAACTCTATAACAGTCTCCTCAACTTGATAGATATATTTTTGCCGGTTCTAAAGGATGGGAATGCTGAGAGACAAACAATGCTTCATTGACAAACGGAAGGTTTTGTTTGAAGTTTAAACTTGAAGCCTTTGAATTTAAGATTTAAGAAAAAAGAGGCTTCGCTTACAAAGATGCATTTGTTTCCCTGCCCAGTGCTTTCTCTCCCATTAATAAGGAGCATATTCACTTCTGACTGAAACAGTTTGTGATTCAAGCACAAGAAGACACTTCATACTAGAAGTGTTTGTTGTTGTTGTTGCTGTTGTTTGCATGATTCTGATCATGCTGAGATCCTTGACTGCCATTTTATTTTTACGTACTCTAGGAAGCAAACTTTACTTCCATCCAAATTTTCAAAAAAGTTATGTGCAAGTAGTAGAAAAGATGATTCCTAGCCACTTGAAACCACTGCTGAAAAGTTCAAAATGTCAAAAATCTCATGTAGCCAGCAATATATACTTCCATAGTCATTAGCAGGGTATCATTGTAATGGTGGAAGAGGACTCACCACAAGATGGTTCAGTCAACACTGGTGCTAGGAAGAAGGCTTATAGGATGATGATCGTGATCTAAAGTTCCAAAATGCCCTTTTCCCTTATCTTGCAAAATCATGTTTGAACAAGCAGAGTTTCATTCAACAGTTAATCATTGGTATTTCACCTTGCACTCTTCACTTCATTTTTATTTACTGATATTTTAATTTTTATTTTAACACTTATCGTCCTAGTGTTTCTTTTGAACTGGAAATAAGGTCCTTCATATTTCACACTCAAGGAAGCACAAGATCCTGTCTATTTGTCACATTGTACATCACAATTTACGTCACATTCTCTCATTTGCTTGCAATAGTAAAATGTCATTTATGGGGAAAGTTTGGAAAATAACATAATATTGTGAAAAAGAAAATAGACAAGAATCACTTACTTTCTACGATGTAAAACATTTGGAGAACTAATTTTGAAAATTCAGGTGCTATTTAGCAGCAACCCAATTCCAAAGACTGAAAGGTCGTCTGGCATTTTTCCTTATAATTTTGAATTTGGACATGGCTTTATTGACAGTATGTGTCCCTGAATTCTGTTTCGTCCGCATCATAGCTAGATTTCAATTGGCTCACAAAATAAATCGCACATGAAAGTCGATGATTGAAAACTAACAATTTCAGGTAAAACTTGCCCGAACATGGATCAAGCAGGGACGAAAGAGAGTGTATAGTTTGTACCTCTAGTCAAGGGTTTAAGAGAGGTTCTTGGCATGGAAGAAGAACGCAGTGCAGCACAAAATGGAAGCAATGATGGCAAAAACTGCCAAAAAAATCACGAAGGAAATCCCAGCGACCACCAAATCTAATATTCCCATCACACTCAAGCCCATCACAATCGTCATCGTCGTTGTCTCCTTACCTTCTTATTCAGCTCAAATTACTCGCTTGCAGTTGGAATGGCCGACGAAGACGATCTAACAAGCTATGATCGGGAGGAGAAGCATCAGAACAAGAGGTGTTTGTGGCCACGAACAAGAAGTATTCTTGCCAAATTTATATAAATAAATCATGAACAAGAGATGTCTAGTAATCAATCTCTCATTCCATTCTAATTAAATAAAGGATGAATAAGAGGCACTCTTGCCAGATTTATATAAGTATAATATCTTCACATTAGGCCAAAAAAAAAAGGTCCATGGAAAAACTTCACACTGGTCTGGTACGAAGAACAGAACAACGCATAATCTAATATCATGAAATTAGTCCAGCAAAACTATTCATTACTTCTATATTATGCTAAGAAGACAAAAGGACTAACTTGAGAAGTAAAAAGAATAAGCATCTCCCTCTTGTAAATTTTGCTAAATGATCTAAAATGGAACGGAAAAAATCACGAAGTGGATCTCAAACTGATAATCTGCAGAATTCCTATCTTGCTTTTTGCCCCTTGTTCATCAAATTAAAATTTCACAAACATGGGCAGAATAGGTGCGCTGAATGTTAAAGAAACAAGAATAAAAATGATGGCAAGAAATACACTGCAGATACAGTATCAAACCAGAATGAAGACGATGTTGAAGAAGAGAAGAACTATCCTTGATGAGTCCAGGAGTTGCAGAGAGAGCACGCCGGAGAAGAAGAAGCCACTGAACGATGCTTTGGCTGGGTCGATCAAGGATGGGAGCCTCCTGAGCTGGGACGCGCGGAAATGAAAATAGATGGGAGTCTGAGCGCGAAACAAATGAGAGAAAGAGGAAGGACAGATGTTGGGAAAAAAATTTTACACCCAAAATTTCTTCACTTAAAAAAAAAAATCTTATTTTTTTTCACATTTTTTTATTCAAACAGAAAAAAAAAATTATTTTCTCTCCTTTTTTTAATATTTTATTTTATTTTTACATTTTCTTTCCAGCCAAATAAAGTATCAATATCCAAAGACGATTTCGAGGATTTTAATGCATCGTGATGACTTGGATATGGCAACCCCTTGAAGGTTAATTATATTTCTGCCCCACGAACGTTCTCATAATTTACCATACACCTATCGCTTCATTTTTTTTCTTTTAAAAGATAGAATTATCAGGTTGTATTTGAATATTATTAGTTAGATTTACACGCAAGATCTAAAGAAAAAAAATTAGTCTCGGCAGCTCAACCTCTGAAATTTTCATTCGGTTAAAAATTAGCCTTTAAACTAATTATTACAATTTAATCTTTACAGATTTATCTATTTAAAATGTTGATTTTTACATTCTAAAAAAATAAAAATTTAAGTATTAAATATTTTAAATGATTAAAACTATAAAAATTGAATTGTATTAAGTTAAAATTTAGAAATAGAGTTATAAGAAATTAAAGTTTTGGGATAAAAGTACAATCAAGTAAAAAATATAAAGACTAAATCATTAATTTTTCCAATAAAAAATAACTCTATTAATTTAGTTTTTATTTATTAAATTCAAATAATCAATTTTCTTTAAATAAAATCAAATTTCTTTTACATGATTTAATTATAGTTACGTGATATGGCACTCTATTCCAATATTGTAAAAACCAGACCAGTGGTTCACTAAATGGTGATCACATCAGTCTCAATTAAATACTGAGTAATATTTTAAATACTGCATATGAAAAAGATAAATTAGGTTACATTTATTCATATATTGTCACATACTTCCTCCATTCAAAAATATAAGGTATTTTTAACTGAATTTCACACTCAATAAAGTAGTTATCTTTTTTTTAACTAACTTTATCTTTTTATATTTATTTCTGTTAAACAACTTATAATAAATATAATGTCATTATCAATAGGGACACTTTTGAAAAGAAAGCAATAATTACACCTCAAAAGATTAAAAATATCTAACTTCTTAAAAAATACTTATATTTTTAAATGGAGGTAGGCACATGCCTAAATATGTCCTGTAATATTTGTTGTGAACCGTGCGTACGGCCGTCTCCCGATATGATTAGTTGAACCAGCTGATGTAGTTTAATTCTACCAATGCCAACATTACTCCACACACACACACACACACACACACTCTCTCTCTCTCTCTCTCTCTCTCTCTCTCTCGCTTTTTTTCTTTACAATTTTCTGGGTCAATGCACTCTCTTGCAGCTGTTTTTACTTATTACATGGATCGATCCATTTTTAGATTAAAGAGAGACAATAAATCATTTTACAAAATGCTACGCTTTATGAAAATTGATTTAACTTCTGAACCCATTTTAATTTGGATGTCTGGATAAATGCCAGGAATAGTTTCAGGAATCAAAACAGCATTGAATCAAATTTGGAAGAACAGCTACCTCAGTTGATCATCGTAGGAGAATGAAAATTAAACTTATGACAGGACACATAAGCCCCCTTCTGTTCTTGTTTCACACAAAAACAGAAAATATTCTAAAGTAGATGACTCGTGCATAATATAGAGCTCAAAGTGAGCCATACTGTTCTTAAAATCATGGCTTACGAATAATGCAACTTCCTCTAAATTTTATACATGTATTGATGACATTGATTGCTCTATGTAGACTTAATATCTTATTGCATTAAGAACTTAGCTCTATCCACCATTTAGCAGGCCCTTTAGTACAAAGAACAATGCGATCGCCACTAAGACATGGTCAATGGAGGAACCAATTTACTGAGAACTACTTCATGGGCTATCCTGGGGTTCACATTTTCCATCATTGTGCAAAAACTGGTCTCGTGCCCAAGCATTGTGCATCTAGAGCTTCCTAAAATGAACTCCTTGTATGCTTGGATGACAAATAAATCAGATTTTAAGAGCCAAACTGAACTCTAAAACCTTCTCAGTAGCCAATTGGTCCTAACCCTGAAAAATCAAACTCCAAAGGTCAATTGTTACGCGGGATTAGCTGTGAATGTAGTTGGTAGTTAGGGTAACAATATTCTGTTAGCTTCTGCTTTAAGAAGTTAGATTCTTAAGATTGACAAACCTGAGGTTGTTAAGGGCTTTCTTCGCCGGATAGGACCTAATTCCTTGCGATCGATCACGACGGCATTAGACGTCAGAAAAGCCTTGGCCACAGATGCTGAATGCTCCAGACAACATCTAACTACCTGCAAAAGTGTTCAAAACATTGAATAATCTAACAATAGCATTATAATGGAGTTACTCGTCACCTGCATTTGGCAAGGCATGTCAAAACCAGAATTGACAAATTTGTTTGTAAATATTCCTTTTGGCTTCTACTCCTATCACTGAGTGGAAAAATTGATTATCATAGATAGACATGACTGGCTACTCTTTCTTATGCTAGATACAACGTTGAAAAGCCCAAATCTGAGCTTGAACTATTAAATTTTGACATAATTTACATCCCCATGACAATTCACTTCTGTAAAATAGTTTGCACGTTATCCATTTATCTTCTTCTGCAAAACATATTCAAATGCTAACAAGTCATACCTTTGTTGGGTCCATTATCCCAGCCTGCATTAAATCTTCGTAAGAGTCTTCAGCAGCATTGTAGCCAAAATTCACGTCATCGTTTGATAAAATCTGCAAGATTTGAGGCATTCAAGATCCATTGCCGTGGGTTACAAACTACAAACCAAACAGAAGACCTTAAAAGCTAATGTACTAATTAATCTCTTACAGAAAACAATCTCAATACATTCAGGACCTTATCAATGACAACATTGCCATTTACACCAGCATTTTTTGCTATTAATCTCGCAGGATAGCTCAAAGCTCTTCTGAAGATCTCAGCTCCAATCTGCAGATAATGGCTTCAAAAATAATTGCGGTATCTTGAGTAATCTCCTATAGCATAGTACTTTTTCTTTACAATAGCTTTTTCGATAATTAGCAAATAATATTTAGGAATTTAGAGCATTGTTGGGCCCAGGACAGCATTAATCTTATAATAGAGAATAATACATTTAAATATGTTTGATTCACATTTCACTTCAAAATCTCAAAGCGCTAAGATTTTTAGTCCTGCCACATACATACCTCTTTTTTAACATAGCTCTATCTCATATGAGGCTTCAATACTTCTTCCTTATGGAATTTCTTTTTGCTCACAACATATTTTTAAGAATTTACAATTTAATCTGTTAAAGACATGTCATTCAATTGCCATTTACAAAAGTCCAATAATAGCCTAATAATAGTCCTATAATAAAAGTATGGAATATCCAAACTTCAATGGGGGGGAAAGTGAAAATGAGAAAGGAAAGTTACTTTCTGTTCTTCATTGTCTAGGAGTTCTTTGATACTGTCCACCTTCTTGGACAGCCTTAAAAGGCTACAGCCACCACCAACTACGACACCTTCGTCAATCGCTGCCTGCAATGAAACAAGTTAGAACCTCCATACTTGAGAACGTATCACCTTGACAGAGCAAAGAAAAGGAATACCTTGGTTGCATTTAGAGCATCTTCAATTCTTAATTGCTTATCCTTCAACTCTACTTGTGTTTGTGCTCCTACCTGTAACTCAAGTTTCAGAAAGTATAGTGTTAGTCTCTAGCTTACATAAAAAACATAATTTTTAAATTCCCAATTATCACCAGGCAGAACTTAAAAAATTCATATTACCTGAAGAATGGCAATGCCCCCAGATAATCTTGCTATCCTTTCATTCAATATCTTCTTTTGGAAACTTTCTTCAGTGTTCTGCATTATATGAAGCAATTTTTCCAACGATCAACAGGATAGGCAAATACATCATTCCTATAAAAACTTTGCACTTGTCAAGGGTGAATGTGTTTCTGTATGAGGTGATGAATTTCAACTGGAATATTTCTGTAGTGATGAAGCTAGATGCACCTCAACAAGCTTCCTAATTTGAGAAACCCTCTTCTCAACAGCAGGCCCAGTACCCCCATCAGTAACTATCAACGTTGAATTATTCGTTATGACAACTTTAGTCGCAGATCCTAGAACATCCCTGCTAGCCTTTTCTAGGGTCAAACCCATCTCATCTCTAATTACAGTGCCTGCAAAATAAACAAAGAGTTCATAATGTACAAGAGTAAAGATCTGATGACGACTTTAAGACTATATAAGTTCTTATAAAGAACAAAAGGCAGACCATAGAAAGAAAACGGTGATGGTTTCCACTATGCGTTTTATTATGATATGAACCCTTAGAAAACCATACTCTAAAAGCAACCCAATGGTTCATGTGAGCCTCACATCAGAATCCCATACCTGTAGGTGTCAAATCCTGTGCCTTGCAGTGGCTCATAATATATTATGATGAAACAAGTGAAAATTACTGCATTAGCATTTTATCTTTTGTATTTTTTCCAGTTGTTGATTGCTTCTCTAGTGTTGCCTCTGTCAATAGGGATAAAATTTAGACACTTAAGCCTCTACCTCCAATCAAGGTGGCAATGTCATCTAAGTAGTGGCTCTTGCGCTCACCAAAGGCAGGAGCCTTAATAGCAGCTGCCTTCAGCACACCCTTGAGTTTATTTCTAATTACGGAGCTAGCGCTTCCTGCTCAATGCCTTCTGCAACTATCACGATTGGATACTTCTCTTTCACAGCATTGTCCAATATTTTAAACAACTCCTTTGGGTTTGTGACTTTTTTGTCAACCAATAGTAACTGCAACCAAAGAATTTTGCACCATCTAATTATTCCATAGAATTCATGCCAGGCTTTTAGACACTTGTTGTCCTACCTTGCAGTTGTGGAACTCCACAATCATCTTTCTTCGGTCAGTGACAAAATATGGAGACATAAATCCACGATCAAACTGCATCCCTTCAACAACCTGTAGGCTATTCTCAGTGCTCTTTCCATTTTCAATTGTCACTACTCCTCTCCTGCCTACTCGTTGAAGAGCATCAGAGATTAATTTTCCCACCGCATAATCATTACCAGCACTAACTGCTGCAACATCTGTAAGTTCATGATCTTCAACCTACAAATACAACAAAGTTGATAAATGAATTCCCAAAGTTTAAAACTACAGGTAATATTTGGAAGGAACAAAATCCTGTAATTTAATAAGCATCTGGAGAAAGGTACTTGCCACTTCTGAACTTGCCCAGTCATCCAGGAAATGACTAAAAAAAAAAAAAAAACTAAAATGCATAAAATAGACTAGCTCACATCTCTGGAAATCAAAGCAAGTTCAGAAACAAGAGCAGCCGCTGTTTTCTCAATCCCACGAGCAACTTGAACAGGATTCATCCCCGCTGCTATAACCTATAAAAGAAAAATGATAAGAGCAATTACTACTGCAGAGTCATTAACATGGTAACAAGTTCAGGGATCAAAAGCAAATATTATATATATATATATATATATATATATCTTAGAGTCATGGAATATGTGCCAAATTTACTGAAACCTACAAAATAACAGCATTTAATGATTTTACGTGAGTTGATGGAGATGAATATGTATTAGATGCTATTTCATAAAATAAAAAAAAATCAAAAAAACTAGTTGTAGTTAGGATGAATCTTGCAGTCTGTACTTGATTAGTTGTACCTTTATCCCCTCAGTGATAAGGCCATGAGCAAGAACAACTGATGTAGTAGAGCCATCACCAGCAAGGTCATTTGTTTTCGCACCAGCTTGTCTTACCAATTTAACTCCAACATTCTCCAGTGGATCTTCTAATTCAATCTGAAAAAAATTATATCAGGGTTGGGGAGACAATGTGTTCACAAAAGAAAGAGTGATTTTCTTGAACCTGATTATAGAATAACTATTTTCCAGTTGGAAGAATACACACATAATTTATTTTAAGAATAATTATATATTCCAAGTAGAAATTGTCTAGAAACTGACAAAGACAAACATCACCAAAGAATCACACAACAGTCTTAAAAGCCAACCACAAAGGCCAGAGTTTCAATCTTTCCATAGAAAACACATAAACTGAACATTGATGAATCGAAATGAATAAAACTCTCCGTGCAATATAAGAGGGAGCAAACCAATGCATATAAGCACAAGTACCACGACCTATTTCACGCATGTTAACACCAGTAGGAAGAGTACTAATACAATTTATCAATTTTCACTAGGCAGAGTACCGGTTCTTTTTGGGTTGTATAAAAGTTTGGGGATATCTCTACGGTACTTGTAGCATTAACCCCCATTTACATGACAAAATTTTGCACAATACATTAAAAAATAATTAATATGTAAATTATAACATCAATAAATGTCATAGATAAAATTTTCCATATAAGTAAAGGCACATACCACAAGAGATTCCATAAATTTGGCCTAAAATTTTTCCAAGTCAAAGTTGTAATTCCAAGCAACACTACATTGAAGCACTCGAATGTTGAGAACTGAAATCCAAAGAAGTGGCAAAATCCACTTCGCCAAAACCTACCTCTTTGAGAACAGTTTCTCCATCATTAACTATCTTGGGTGGTCCATACTTGTTCGGAAGCACAACATTTCTGCCCTTGGGACCTAATGTGACTCCGAGAAGCTCTGCCACCATGTCCACCCCAGCCTGCACCCACCAAATGAACTCACTGTAATCTTGTGAAGCCAAAACAAATTGAAGGGTTTAAAACAACTAGAGTGCAGAACCGCAACCAGAAGCTTCTTCGTTGTTGAGCCATCATGGTTGAAGTAAAGCTCTTTGGCCATTGCTCTTGGGTTAAAAACAGAGCGTGAAGCTTGGGCTCTGGGAAACGATGGATTTGCGAAGGAGAATACAGAAATAGGGGGTGGAGAACATGCCATGGCTTGGAATTGTTCTGAAGAAACCAATTACATGCCCTGTAGGCTGTAGAACAGTTTAAACAGAGAGAATCAAATGCAAGGATTTTGGACAACTTCGGAGGGTAAGAGTGTCTGTCTAGAGGAGAAAAATATCTCAATCTCAGAACATCCATATTTACCAGAACAAAATAAGACGAAATATCTCAACTATTTTGGCGCCATTTATATACGTGTCTATGGGAGAAGAAAAATACGTATCCTGATGATTAATAGATATTTGGGGGAAAAAAAATACTTGTTGAAATGATTGACTCATTGATCACCCTGGCTCGTAAAAATTAAACCTTATTTCGAGGAGGAGGGATGTGGAAATTAGATCTACGGATACCAGGGTCATTAAGCTTGTAATCGATAATCAAATTCAAAGTGCAATAGTTCAAGGAAACTTGGTGGCTATGCTTTATTAAATTCATTTGAGATCCTAGTCTGAAAATGGTTTAGACAAGTGGCAGAAGAACCATCAATACGCGTCGTTTTAAAATGTTAAGAGCTTAAAATTTCAGACGCTACTAGATTTAGAATTTAAGGGTAAATTTATCATTTAATTCAATTCTAAAAATGGTTAGTATTCAACATATCATGTATTATATCCCACTAGTCTTCTCCTCATGCAATGTATAAAAAAGATTTCATTACATGTAGGCGGAATTGTTAGAGTATAAACAAAAATGTTAATGTATTGAACATTAAAAAAATTAATTGGATTAGTTATATAAATTATTCAATTAGATCAAATTATAAAAATGAATTAGTTTAGCTTAAAATTTATGATAACAGTAAACACAAAGTTTTATTTCTTTTATAATATCATGTTATTTTTAAAGTAGCCTGGTTAAGTCGAACCTTCTTGAAAGGCTAAACTTGATCCTTTTCTTTTGGACCCAGATGAATTTAAGGATGATTTCATTATAGGACCATGTAGCAATAGAAACAACATTATTTTGTTTATACCATTATGTTATTTCATTTTATTTTTAATCAATTAATTTGTGTTATTTTCTTTTATTAAAAAAATAAAGTAGTAATTTTAGATGACACAATATTGTTACCTTGGACTAGTAATAATTAAATTAGCTTTTGATACCAATTTAACGTGGATTCAAATTATACCGAATGGCAGAAGGAGTTGTTAAGGCGATATGCAAATATTATGTTTCTAGTTGATGAAAAAAGAAAGAATTACATCCTAAGACCACTAAAAAAATTTATTTACAAATAATGATTAATATAGAATGAATTGCTGTTAAAATAAAAATATGAATGTTTTTCAAATGTGACTTGTTATTAGGGTTTTTTTTTTTGTAATAAGTTTCTTAAGGGGTCATATGATTATCTCATAAAAAACTCAAAGAAGTTGTAGTTGAGCGAAGAGAGCTTACAAACTTTTATCGACAACATTGAGTAAAGCAGACACCTCTTTAACTAAAGAAACCTAAGTAAGTCGAGCCTCCTTGGAGGGTTGAACTTTGGTCCTCCTTTTCTTAACCCATATAAACTTAGAGATGATATTAATATAAGAACACATGATAGCAAAAACAACCTTGTTTATAATTGGGAGAATATCAATTAGGGCCATTCTAAGGAGATTAATCACATGTAAGGCCCAATAAATTCAAAAACTCTTCTGAAGGCCTAAGGGAATGACTTATAATTAATTTTTTTAGTCCAGTTACTAAAATACCCTTAGTTTATATTTAAAAAAAAAGAAATTCCCACCAATGCAAGCACCATTGTTAGTAGACAAACCCACCACCACGTGTGAGAATGATTCTCATCTAGAGAATAATCCTAAAAGTTTCACATAATTTAACGACAATAAACTTCTTGAAACTCTTGGCACAGTCCTCCTTAAGGGAGGAACGCATTTCCCATGGTAGCCTGGCCAAGTCTTTTCTCTAAGATTCTTACCTCTCTAACGAATGCGGTAGGGGGAAAGGCATCTAAGGTCTTAAGCATCGATTCTAGTTCCTTTTGGTTGGGGTATTGCAACAACTACCAAGCCTTCTTTGATTTCCAACTCTTTAAGCTCCATTTAACTTGATCCACTTCGATGGTGGCCATTGATGGAGCTATCATTGTGATAATGGTTTATGGCTTCTTGGTAGGCTTGGCTGCATGTACACCTACTATGATGGCAGGAGAGGCCCTGAGCTTATTGGGTTTTATGAGTAAGAAAGATTGGTTGTGTTTTGAAGAAGAAGCAAGACAAGATAAAGTTGTGGGAATTAAGGATGTAGAAGTAGACATCACCATTATTATTGCCAGGTGGAAATGGATAATTTGATATCCTCAGACAATTATAAAGATCTAATTTATGATCTTATTTATTGACGGGTTATTATTCATATTCAAACAATCACTTGTTAAAATTGACTACTTTTTTAATTTCAACTATTCAATAAGTCATGTTTGAACAAGTAATTGTTCGGATATAAACAACAACTTGCCTATAATTAGCAAAAGCCTTTAAAAACACTTGAAAAATAAATTTATTACATATAATTTTTTATTTAGCATAATATTGATCACTTGTCAATATTGAGAGAACAAGTTGGCCTTTGAAAATTGATAATTTTTTTTAAATTAACAAGTCAAGTTCAAATATTAACAAGTGATTTTCAAATGCAAATAATAATTTTTCTAGAATTGGCAAAAGCCCATGAAAATGCTTAGAAAATAAATTTATATCATATTTTTTTTATTTGGCATAATATTAATCACTTCTCAATCTTGAAAGAATAAGTTGAAAAACATTGAACCATTTGGTCTTAAAAATTTAAAAATTTTTTTTTTCAAACATTAACAAGTTATGTTCAAGTACTTATAAGTAATTGTTTAGATATAAATTAACTTGTTCAGGATTTATAGTAACTCTTAAAGATGCTTGGAAATGAAAGTTAGTGTGCGTGTGCTATAAATTGAAATGTTTGTTGGTTCAATGGTCTTTAACATTTTGGGGAACTAAGGGCTCATTTGATATGATGGAAGAGTTTTTGATAGAATTGAAATTAAAATTAGATCAAAATTGAAATCGAAATTGGAATTGAATTAGGTTATAAAATTTTGTTTGGTATAGGTATGGAATCCTGATATATTTTTAATAATTATACGTATTTAAAATAAAAAAATACCAAAATGCCCCTTGCTAAAAAGTAGTCCTAACACACCTTTCCTTCCACTAGCCACGACTTCAAAAGTTCAACTGCATGGAAAGAGAGACACCATGGGGGAGAGAGAAAGAAAGGGAAAGGGAGAGAAGGAGGAGGGAGAGAGACGTCGTGGGTGGTGGTCAGTAAGCAAGAGCCTCCACGAGCTTAGGCACCTCCGCAGGTTTGCATTTTGATTTTAGATGAGCATGCTCAAACTTAGGTGAGCGGCACCATGATAGATGACAACATCTACCTCGATAGGTTGAGCTCTGTCCACGATTGCAAGTCCACATCTCGCTTGAAGATGTTATCATTGATCTTGACAATTGTCTCTCTGTTATAGGTGGGGTTGTTAGCAAAGATTGTTGAGGAAGATGGAGCAGTGTAGGGTCACTGTTGTCATTCTTGGCAGTCACCTCCATTCCAGTGCAGTTGTCCTTACAAGTTGCCTCTGCCACCATTGTTAGAGTTGGGTGCTTCTTTGCATCTATGTTCTTGGTGATCATCTCTCTCTCTTGTCGTGGTTTCCTTAGCTCCTACATCAACATTGAAATCATTGGAAGTTGCAATGGACGTGTCGAGCTCCACCGTTGCATCCTCCATAAGGGTTGGTCATTGCCTAATACTGTGATGGCTAGGACCATGGCCTATGGGTGAGTAGGCCACAATAGGTGGGGTGAGAGGGGCGACAATAGGGGTGGAAGTGGAGAGAAAAAATAATTTCATGGAATCCAACCAATTCTATAGCTATTATTATGGAATCCAATTATAGCCTTTTTTATAAAATTGGAATTTTTGAGAATCTTGATTCTGGGCTACCAAACATGCTCACATATGGAATCCATTTCAAAGATTAGGATTCCTATATACCAAACAAGGCCCAAGAGTTCAAGAGTTCAAACTCTCCCTTAGTCCCTTTCTTGAATTGATCAACCATTGACTACTTGCCGAAACTCCGTCTCTAGCTAACCCGGGCCGAACATATGTTATTTTTTTAAAATTTTTAGCCTTTGTAAATAATATTTATTTAATTATATTGTTTTTGGTTAAGCATTATCATGAACTATATTATTTTTATGATCTTTTTAGACATTTCTTATCATTATAATTTTTTAATCTCTTTTAAAATTTAAAATTTAATTTTAATGTAATATTATGTAAAAATAATTGACAATAGTTAATCATATATAATTTAAAAAATTACTTTTGATTCTAATAATGGTCTTAAAAAGAATATATTTTAAATGATAATAATTATATTCTTTAAAAAAAATTTTACATATTTTTTAAAATGATATTTATAAAAAAAATTTAGGCCAATCAGGGCAAACCTAACCATAACACTCGAGCTTCAGACTAATCTAAACTTCACATTGGGTAAGGCACTGAATAGGGGTGATGTTCAGCCTCGTCCTGCTTGTACACAACTCTAGCCATGTGGGTATGAGCTCGAGGGAAGCGAGAGCTAAGGCCAAAGAGTAGGTGGATGCTAGAGATGAAGAAAGTGAGATTGGGTAGGGGTGATGTTCAACCTAATCTAAACTTCACATTGGGTAAGGCACTGGATAGGGGTGATGTTCAGCCTCATCCTGCCTATGCACATTCCTAGCTGTGTGGGTATGAGCTCAAGGGAAGCGAGAGCTAAGGCCAAGGAGTAGGTGGATGCCAGAGATGAAGAAAGTGAGATTGGTCCAATTATGGCATCCAGTCAGACACTACAAATTTTTTAAACATGTTGTCGTCAGTTCCATTAATGAAACATACATCATATGTCATTTTTTTATTAACATTTCACTTTTTATAATATATGTTATTTCTTATTTATGTAAAAATAATTTCCAAAAATCTTTTCAATATGGTTTATTAAATAAAATTTTTTAATTATATATTTAATTTTAATAATATATATGATTTATTTAAATGTTTTTGAAAATTTTTGTTACTTGAAATTTACACACACACACACACGATTTTTAA